TTATTATTATCTATACCTATTATTACCACATCTTTTCAACCTCATTAAATCTTTTCTATTCCTTCACAACACCCCCTATCCACCCCTAACCTCCCAGTGATTTCCACCCTTCTTCTTTTCTGCCTCTTTCTCCTTTCCACCTCCCCTTCTGAACATTTACACATATCTTGCTAGTTTAGCCTTCTATTTTTACAATAATGGTTTTGTGCAATATTTGTCTTTAGGAGTTTGGGTTAGTTTTCTCAGCATAATGCTCTCTGCACTCTCCCATGTTATATAATATTTTACAAAATTGTTGTTCCTTAGTGCTGCATAGTATTCCATTGTGAGAATATACCATAATTTCTCAACCCCGGTGTCTGTTTATGAGCATTTGGGCTATTTCCATTTTCTTTCTTTTGTGAATAAAACTGCTATGAATGCAGAAGTATCTCAGTCCTAATTTCCATGAGATATATTCCTATCAGTGAGATTTCTGTGTGATATGGAATTTCTGTGTTCAGCTTTTTGAGGAAATGCCAAACTGCCTTCCAGAGTGGTTGTACTATTGTAAAATCCCACCAGCAGTGCATGAGAGTGCCAATCTCTTGGCATCCTCTCCAACATTAAATGCTTGCTGTCCTGTTAAACTTTGCTGCTGTTACTAGGGTGAGATGGTATCTCATTGCTGTTTTTGGTGGGGTTTTTTTCCCCTTAATTGTTTGTTTTGGTTTGGTTTTGCTGAATCAGTATGTCTAGGGTGAGTCTGGGAACCTTTTTTTGTTATTATTATTTTATTTGAAATTTTAATGAGAGTTTACAGAAAACTTGGATATTCATTCATTCGTTGTTGCACATTTTGATTTGCATCTCTCTAATTGAGAGTGATTTTGAACATTTCCTCACATGTCTTTACCCATTTTTTATTGGGTTATCCACCTTTTTCCTCATGGAGGCCCTGTAGTATTCTGTCAACTTTTGTTATGAGACCTCTGTCTGAGATGTTATTGCCAAATGTTTTTCCTAGTCTTTAGGTTTTCTTTTCACCCTGTTGGAAAAAGTTTTCTTATGCATACATTAACTTCATTTTTAGGAGGTTCCATTCATCGATTCTATCCTCTCCTGATTGTGCATTTCTGACTATATTTGTAATCCTATTTATGTTCTTAGGCTAAGATTTCCAAGTTTGATACCTTTTTGTCTCTTATGATCCTTACAGTTTTTGCTTATAGGTCTCTGATCTACCTTGAGTTGATTTTTTTGTTTGATGTGAGATGTGGATTCTGTTTCAGTTTTCTGCAGATGAATACCCAGTTTTGCCATCTCTAGTTGTTGAAATTGTCATTACCCCATTTGATAGGTTGTGATTCCTTGTCAAATATAATTGATTATAGGTAGATTGGTTGATTTCTGATTCTATTCCATTTGTCTGTATGTCTGTCATTATACCAATACCATGCTATAGTGGTTGCTACAGCTATGTAGTATATTATGAGGTCAAGGAGTGCTGTGTCTCCCACTTTATTTTTCAGAAGAACTTATTCAGGGACTCTTTCTTTTCCAAAGAAACTGCCAAATTGCCTTCCTATCTCTTTCAAGAATGAATTTGATATCTGTATTGAGTTGTCATTTTGTGTAACTGTAGAGGAAGTTATATTTATTTGTGGGGTAGTAATTTTATAACCAATTAATTTGCATTTATTTTCTTTTGTTTTATACTGCTTTGTTTTCAAAGTTCAGATACATTGTTTTTCACACCACCTCTGTCATTTTCACAATATTGAGTATTCCCATCCATGGCAGTGTATATTTTTCCATTTGGTTAGGTCTCTTATTGTTTCTTGTAGTAGTGTTTTGTAGTTTTCCTTATAAAGGTCTTCTGTGTCTCGAGTTAAGTTTATTCCCAAGTATATAGTCTTGTGATTGGCTGTTGTAAATGGTATTCCTTTTTAGTTTCCTTTTCCATGCTTTTGTTGTTGTTGTTGTTGTTGTTGTAGTAGAGAAATCCGGCTGGGTTTTATATATTGATCTTGTATCCTGCCATTCTACTAAATTAGTTCAGTTAAGTGTAACACTTTTTTGGTTGAGTCATTTGAGTTTTCTGTGTACACTATCATATCATCTGTTTACCAATTTAGATAACTCTTATTTCCTTCTCTTTTTTGTATGGCCTCAGCAAGTACGTCCAATACAATATTGAATAGGAGTGGTGGTAGTGGGTGTTCTTGCCTGGTCCCTACTTGCAAGAGGAATGCCTTTAGTTTTTCGATGTTTATGATAATGTTAGTATTTGGTTTTATGTATCTGCTTTTCACTATGCTGAGGAAATTCCCTTCTATTCCAATTTTGTTAAGTATTTTAATCAGGAAGGAGTGTTGAATTTTGTCAAAGGCCTTTTCTGCTTCAATTGATAGGATCAATCATGTGGTTCTTGTTCTTTGCTTTGTTAATGTGATGAATTACTTTTGTTTTGTTTTTGGGGGTTTTTTTTGTTTGTTTTTATATTGAACCATCCATTCTTGAATACTTGTTTGACTCCCAGTTGGTCATTTTGAATTATTTTTCTGGTATACTGTTAGGTTCTATTGGATGGGATTTTGTTAAGAATTTTTGCTTCTATGTTCATGAGAGATACTCACTGGTCTAAAGTTTTCTTTCTTTCTTTTTTTTTTTTTGGTGGTGTCTTTGCCTTGTTTTGATATTAGAGTTATGCTTAATTAATAGAACAGCTCTGGAAGTGTTCTTTCTTTTTATATTTTTTTAGAATGAAGTAAGTAGAATGGGTGCTAGTTTGTCCCTAAATGTTTGATAGAATTCCCTCCTGAAGCCAACTGGTCCAGGACTTTAAGTTAGGGGGAGGCTTCTTATGACCTGCTTATTTCTTCTTTTGTGATGGGTTTGATCAAGTGTCCTGCATATATCTGTGTCAATTTTGGTAGGGTGTGGGTTTCTAGGAATTTCTCCATTTCCTATAGTTTTTCAGATTGACCTATTTATTATCTATTTAATTTCATGTGGCTCTGTTGTGTCTTTCTTTTCTTTTGTTAAATTTGCCAATGGCTTGCCAATTTTATTGACCCTTTCAAAGAACCAGCTTGTTTTGGGGATTTTTTTATGGTTTTACTTACAAAGTTCATATATATAGTTTTTCACACCAGATCTTTCCCTTTTCATTTATTTACCCCTCCCTCCACCCATCAAATTGTGTGACCCTATGATTAAGAAGCATCCCCTCCCCTCCTTGGGTCCTCATACTCATTATATAATAATGGTCTTATACAGTATTTGTCTTTATGAGACTGAATTAGTTCACTTAGCATAATGCTCTCTAGTCCTTCCCATGCTGGGTAGTAATTTACAAAATCATTGCTCCTGTGTGCTGTATAGTATTCCATTGTGTGAATGTACCACAATTTTTCAATCCATTCCATTGTGGTTGGGCATTTGGGCTGTAGCTTTGTAGAAAAGAGTTGTGTTGCCAACTAGCTCTTCATTTTATTGATGAATAGTTGTTTTCCTGTTTTCTATGTAATTTATCTCAGCCCTTGTCCTTATCATTTCCTTTCTTCAAGATGCCATGGGATTGGATTGTTGTTCTTTTTTCTGTTTGGTAAAGATGATTTTGCTCCTTCCTTCTTTTATAATGTGTGTGCCTCTTGCTATGAACTGCTTCCTTAGGCCTGCCTTAGCTGCATCCCAGGATTTTTGCATTTTCCATTTTGCATTATCCCAGAGTGTTGCATTTTCATTTTCATTCATTTAGAGGAACTTTTTAAATTTCTCCTATAACCCAGTAGTACTCAAGCAGTATATTATTTAGCCTAAAACCAGGACCTGAAGCGCCTGCTGCAGAGTGTCAAGGACTGCAGCCTACAATATGGATTGAGGCTCAATGTCAAGAAGACAAAGATTCTCACCACTGGACCAATTGGCAGCATCAGGATGGATGGTGAAGAGATTGAGATTGTACACAGCTTTAGTTTGCTCGGCTCCATAGTCAACAGTCTTGGCACCAGCAGCCAGGAAATTAAAAGACTCATTGCCATGGGAAAGTCTGCTGTTAGGGGCCTCTCCAAAGTGCTGAAGAGCAATGGTATCTCTTTGGAGACTAAGGTGCGTCTGATACAGGCCATGGTCTTCGCAATCACCTGTTATGCATCAGAGAGTTGGACAATGACCAAGGAGGATAGAAGGAGAATTGATGCCTTTGAGCTGTGGTGCTGGAGAAGAGTATTGAGAATACCATGGACTGCTAGGAAAACAAACAGATTTGTCCTGGAAAGGGTTAAACCGGGTGGCTCCTTGGAGGCAAGGATTCTGAGGCTCCGTCTAACATACTTTGGACATGTCCTTGGAGAGGGATGTCATGCTTGGGAGGGTGGAGGGACAGCACAGGAGAGGAAGGCCCTCTATGAGGTGTATTGATTTAGTGACTGGGATAATTGGGATGGGAGTGTCAGAGACAGTGCGATTGGCACAGGACAGAGCGGAGTTTAGGGCTGTTGTACATAGGGTTGCTATGAGTCGCAGGCGACTCGACAGCACATAACAACAACAACAAAACCAGGTAGTTTTTTTTTATCCTTCATCTCGTTAATTTCTAGCTTTATGTGTGACATTGTGGTTTCAGAAGATACTCTATTATTTCAAGGCTTTTTTATTTTGTTGAGATTTGCTTTGTGTACACATGAGAAGAAAGTAAATTGAGTTTTAGTTAGTGAAGCACCCTGAATTTGTCTATACAGTTGTTTAGTGGTATAGTTTAGTTCTTCTGCATCTTTCCTGAGTTTCTTTTGAAGTGACCTGCTGTTTGTTGAGAGTGGTGTGTTAAAATCTCTTACTACAGTTGTGGTGCAGTAATCCATGGTAGTCAGTAGACATTCCTTGAACATCTAATTTCTCATTTTGGTCACTGCTCCTATTATTATTTTTTTTCATTGAATTTAAAATAAAGTTGTAATGAAAATGTTAATCCTTTGAGTGTTTAAAAAACTGCTTCGCACGAGTCCTTTTTCTTCCAGGCTCTGCATTATCTTGGTCTTCAGCCCACGGAGGAACAGCAGCAAGCCTTGAGACAGCAAGTGCAAGTAGATTCTAGAGGAACAGTGTCTTTTGGAGGTAATATTAGATTCATTGTATGGCCCCTGAAAATTGGTTGAAAAGCTATTGTGCCTCATTTTCATTGAGATTTCCTATTTGGAAATTTAGGAGAACAGAAAAAAATAAAAGAATCCATCTACTCCAATTCCCTAAAGAGTGCTTTACACACTGAGCTAGACTTATTGACATTGCTGAATCAACAGGAAAAATTTAATCAGAACTTCCAATTCTAAAATTCCATCATTCTCTCTCTCTCTTTAACATCTGTCTGTCTATCTATTGATAGCATCAACATTGTTTTAGATAGATCAAAAAAGGGAAACAAAAGATGTTATTGTTAGATGCTGTCAGGTCAGTTCTGATTCATAACTACTCTGCATAATAGAATGTAATATCACCCCGGCTTGTGCTTTCTCACAGTCATTGCCAAGTTCAAGCCCTTTGTTGCAGCCACTATGTTAAGTCTCTGTGTCAGTTTCACTTCTGTGAGATTAATTGCAACCCTTTCTTAAGGGAATATGATATTTTGTGATACTATGTGATTTTTTATATTTTAAAGTAGCATAATTATGCTATTTATTAAAAATAGCACTGATTTAACTGTATTATTGGTAATTTTGATGATCTCTCAGTAACTGATATTATAGGCAATTCTGTCTATATTCATTGTGAATATAGTTTTTTCTTTTTTCTTTAGATAAATCCCACAAGGTGTTGAGACTTCTGATAGGTAGTGATAAATCATTTTCCAGAGCTGCTTCACACATGTGTTTGTTCTGCCTCTAGTAATATATGAATACAGCAGTTTTATCCTTGACAACATTAAGTTTTATCATTTTCCTTGTATAATAGATGCAACACAGTGTTCTTAAAGTGTCTGTTTCTAAGAAAAAGAAAGAAAGAAATTCACCTTTTAGTTTTGAAATAAAGAAGAAAGGATACTGTTGTTCTATCTCTTTGTAAAAAAATCACCCCAAAATCATACAAATAAGAAACAGAAAAATATGTATCATTTAAACCACAATATGTGAAGACAGAAAATGCATGAAGACAGTAAATGAATTATGGAGCAGAAGCATTTAGAGCTCAGATATCTGAAAAGATAGGTAGATTATAGTGAAGAATAAGCTGATTTATCCTCAGAACCCTGAAAATGTTTAGGTGTTGAAAGCATCCGATACTTAGAAGGCTGGGCTAAAGCAGAGCATGTATGTAAGACTATTAGAAATCTGTACGAACAGAAAATCTACATACTGTTCCCTGCCCTTCATCAAACAATCCAGCAACTGGCAATACCTTATACCTCTAAGGGGAAAATGTATATTCAGTTCAGAAGGAAAACCAAAGAGGTTTTGGACCTACAATTGCCAGCAACCAGGGAGTTTGAAAGAGTGTCGTTTTGTGAGTCATTACTCATAACACATACCCAGACTGTTCAGTGAAATTTGCAGCCATGTTTATATCCTATAGGTAGGTGATTGTAGTATTATAGGTAGGTGATTGTAGGGTTGCCTCTGAAGACACTGGATAAAAGTGTCGGCTGGCCATCTGACTGTCCTGTATAGTAGTGACCCCCAGCAATTGAAAGCAAGCGCTGGACAGAAAACTTCCTGTTCCAATTTTCAGTGACTGGTTATTAAATTTAAACTGATAGCCAAGGGTCGACAGTCCTTTGGAGAAATTCTCCAACATAAAAAGTGGAACCCAAAACTCTTGAGTAGACAGAATTTTAAAAAGGAAGAAAAGAAATAATGCATGAGCAGAGAAGAACTTCAGGTTTTCATTTAAACACAGGAGATAATGAATGCATCTGTGAAATAAACACAGAATCCTATATAATGAGGGAAGATGGAATATTTAGAAATGATCCCAGGAAATGGAAATCTAGTCACCAAAGTAAGAATAATAGAGGATAGATGCTGAGTATGCTATATGTTGTGCTTTGAAGCAGCTTACTGGTTCCTAGGACTGTGTCAAGCTGTGTTATATAGTTAAGAGCCTGAGCCTTAGAATCAGACAAACTTAATTGGAATCTCTACTCACCATTGCTAAGTCACACTGGGTACCTTCCTTAACCTGACTTAGATCCAGTTTACTAATCTGTAAAATGAAGACTATAAGAAGACCTACCTCAAGATTATTATGACTGTGAAATCTCTTAGCACTGTACCTGGCATTGGAATCTATCCCTAAGTGACGCTAACAGTTTATGTTCAGCTTGGAAGCAAGAGTGACATCCACTTCCTCAACAGCATGCCTCTGGAAATGCTATGAACTTTGATAAATGGTAGTTATAGAAAGGTTTCAGACATTTTGCTCCTAGGGTTGATATGAGTCATGCTTGACTCGATGGCAATCAACACCACCACCACCTAACAAAAAGGTAAGAGTTTGGATCTACCCGGGAGAGCTGCGTAAGAAAGGCCTGACAGTCCACTAGAAAGTCGCAGCCATTGACGGTCCTGTGGAGATCAGCTCTACTTGCACAGATAAAGCCATCCAGAAAAACAGTGACATAATGTCATACGTGTCAGTAAAAAAGTCTGGTTTTATGCAAGAGTTAGACGTGTGTGTGTGTGTGTGTGTGTGTGTGTGTGTGTGTGTGTGTGTGTGTGTTGATGAGTTAGAACCAATTCTACAACAGGTTTGATTTCTTGCTTGGCATATTAAAAAGACAGAGTCGTTCCAATTGAGTCTATCTCAACTCATAGCAACCCTATGGACCAGAGTAGAATAGCCCTGTAGTTTCCAAAGCAGTTATTTTACCAGAAACAGACTGCCACATCTTCTGAATGGCCATTGGTAAATTTGAACCATTACCCTATCTTTTAGCAGCTGAGCAATTTAACTGTTCTATTGGGATGTGAAATGAACCACCACCATTAATATATTCACCACCTCTATTTGCTATCCCGTTGTGTCAAAGCTGAACTGCTTCACAGCGTTTTCAATGTCTAATTGTGCCTCTCTTCAGGGGTGCCTTTAGGAAGTCTTGTCCTTGGATTAGAAGTCAAGCATGTTAATCTATCTGTACCATATAAACATTAACTTCTGTTGTTATTATTAAACTTCAGAGAATGCCAACTAGAAAAGCTGGGACTGCTAATACTGTCATTTGTTTCAGGGAAAAAAAGCCTCAACTGATACAAGAGTCAGAATTGGCTATGAGTGCTAGTCGTCTCGAGGCTCATAGCAACACGAGCGAGTTAAGTAAGAGAGCTCTAGTGGTGGAGTCTGTAGGGGGTTGCTAACTTGGGTTCAAATCTACCCACAGCAACAAGGGAGAAAGATTGTCACTTGCCTACCTTGTGATTTACAGCCTCAGAAACCCACTAGAATCAGCCATGACTTAGTTTTGAGTTGGTAGCAGTGAAAGAGAAGACATGTGTTTGCTTTATTATCTTAGCTAATCTTTACATTGTAGTAAATTTAACTGAATTAGGTAAAATTAGTTTCTCTCTCTTTTAATGTACATTTTCTTGTCATTTTAGTCAATTCTGTTTTAAAGTAATATATTAAGTTAAATTTGACTTCTGACTTAGTATTATTGTTTCAACTTCATACCAAAAATTTCATTAGATTCATTTAGCTGAGGTTAAATGCTCTGTTCTTACAAAACTTTGCTCCATTTTAGATTTTGTCCAAGTTGCCAGGAATTTGTTTTGCTTGCGATTGGATGATGTAAATGTTGGTGCCCAGGAAATGTCCACCACATTCGATTCACAGGTAAGAGTGTAACTTACAGAGTTGCTTTGATTGCTCAAGTCCTGGATGCTATGCGTTGACTCTCTAAAATTTTTGCAATTACACAAAAATCTGTAATTTTTTCTGTGTGCTGACAAGTGGCATACAACCAAGGAAATGTTCTAAATTAATGCAATAACTATATTTCTGAGTAGTAAATTAATCTTCCTAGTTATCGTCATGTTGACAATTAAAATCCCTCCAAGGCTCTGAGGAGAGTCCCCACTCCTCTTGCCGTTGAAGGAGACACTGCTTTACTAGAAATATTACTGAGCATTCACAGAGGAGTAGCATTGGTTTCCTTCTGCCTGGTAGCTGTTTTGCTGATTCAAGTGTTCTGTGTTTATCTACCTAATGTTGACAGCACGGCATTGTTTCCGTGCTGCTCACCAGTTCTCAAAGTTGTCACACCTCTTTTTGATGAAGCGGCCTGCATCTTTGGATGCTTACAGTATGCCAAAGAAGTCAGGGATCCAGAGGACTTTGTGCGAGCACGCAAAGCTTCTTCAGCAGCTGCAAAGAGATTATCACGCTCTAAATTAGTCATTCACTTCCCTACCAAAATGATTTTAGGGCAGATAAGAGTATGTTAAGCTTGTGATGCTTTGATAGCAAAACCAAAACGCTGATGGCAATTATGCAGTATCTTTTACACAACCAATAATTTCCTGCCTGTGGCTGCAGATCAAAATGTTGTGCAATAATCATTACATTTAACTCATATTTTTTGTGTGTATGTGAAATACTGGGTATTTTTGTTTGTTTGTTTTATTAGCGTTTAGGGGTTGTGTTTCCTTTTCTTTTGATTTTTAATTAAATTGCAATTTAGGGTAAGACTACAGTTTACCTCAAGTGATCACATACAAGGAAGCTCTGCTGGTCTAAAGGGAGTTTCACTCTAATGCAAAGGTCATGCCTCTGACAGTTCTAATCCAACAGAGAAAGATTGGCAGCCTCCTCCCATGTGATGAGTTGGTTTCAGGTAGATGGCAATGAATTTGACTTTTTTAAATCACATACTAAACTGAAGCATCTCTCAAAGCATTACTTACTTTTCTACAAGGAGTGCATTCATTTAACATTTAATTATGAAAAATTTATTTAAAACATAGCTTCATGGTCTAGGGTCCACTATTTAGAAAACACTATTAAAATGATCCATTGTTTTGAAATATCAAACATATACACAAATTTGGGGGTGAGTTTGCACAAGTGGCTCACCAGAAACAGATGAAAAAAACCTTATTATTTTATACCGCAATTCCCAGTTTTGTTGTTGGTGTTGAAAATCTGCTATCTAAGTAGGGAAATTCCACTGCGGTTACTCCTTCACCCATCTCAATGTCTCAAACAGCAGTCAGGCTTTGTAATAATTTTTTGTTAGGGTGCCGGTCTCTTTACTTTTGTGTGTGTGTGTGTGTGTATAAATATATAAATATAAAATCTCTTTTTTGGTAGATAAAAGGTGGCTTAATTGTCATTTCCTTAATTGATTTTTTACCTCTATTCTTACTCAAGTACACTGTGCACACAGTAAAGCACAAAAGTCTTAGGTGAACAGCTTAATCAGTTTTTAATGTATACCACACATGCTGTCAGCGCTCAGAAAGCTGCTTCATGCCAACGTCCCAGTCACTCGCTATTCCAGCCAGGGTGTTCTGCTGGCCCAGTCCACAGGGAGTCCTACTGCCATTTCTCCAGTGGAGGAAGATGGGTGTGCTCTTCCTGTGTGATTTACAGCCTCGGAAACCCAATGGCGGGTTAGCTATGACTCCGCAGCTATGAGTGGGTGAGAGCTAAGCCACTCTTCTGGCTTATGTAAATATGGATTTTCCCTGGTTTAAAACTTTATAATAAGTGAAACTATATGATATGTATTCGTTTGTGTTTCGCCTGTTTTGCTCATCATGCTGTCTAGCTCAAAAGATTTCTTAAGATGATCTCTTTTGAGAAGAATTGCTGAGTCAGATTAAATCAGTCCTACTTTTTTTTAAATTATTATTAAATTTTATTAGTTTTAGTGAATATTTACAGAGATTTTGGGTTTTCATTCATTCGTTGTTGCACTGTTTTCTCTACCC